TATTAAATCTGAACTATCTGCTCACTTACCAAATGCTAATCTAAACTAAACTTTTTAAGACTGCATATGTTGTATAAAGCAGGTCACACTTGTATAAACTGTGCACACAATATGCATAGTAAAAGTAAGTAAATTATTGTAGGGAGCCTAAAGAGCAAACTAATCAGAAATTCCCATTCAGTGTTAGAAGTGTGTAATTAAGCAAAATACTGGGCCCATGGTAAGTATGCAATGAAAAATATATGGATTGAATTGTGCTAAGTTCCATGCTCTTCTGGGCGTGGTCATTAAGAGTCATTCTATCTTGAGGCCCCTGGGTGGCTCAGTTGGTGAAGCTTCCAGCTCTGGATTCTGGCTCAGGTTATGATCTCACTGTGGTGAGATCAGTCCTGCACCAGGCTCTGTGCTCTCTGCCCCTCCACCACTCACCGTCTCTCTCTCTCTCTCTCTCTCTCTCTCTCTCTCTCTCAAAAAAAGGAGTCATTCTATCTTAAAATTTATCTTTGTTTCATAAACCTACTCTTTTATTTATCTAATCAATTTTAGTAATGATAGGATTATTTTATGATATCTTTTGTCTTTATCAAATTGCAATGTATTAGTATATTTAGATTCTACTTTATGTTGTGTATGTGTCTTTCCTCAAAATGTTCCTTAGGAAAAAAAAATGAGCAGAAGCAGACAGACTGTTCTAGGACATCCCTTCCTTTAGAGATGAGTTTCTTCAGCATAAAAAAAGATTGGCTTCCAATTTGGTTAAACTGTTTCTTCTATACAGTACAGTGACATGTTGTCTTGTTACAGTGAACATGTGCTCTCATTTTGGACGAGCTGTTCTGTGAAAAAGTTTTATTTAGCCCACAGAGCCAATCCCAGGATTTGTGGGTGTTACCTCCTTTGCGTGTTACCAGGTTTTGTCATCATCATTATTGCTTTTGCTCCGTCAGCTGTAACACAGTTTAGTAGCAACCTTTCTTAAAAAACAAGATGTTTCTGAAAATAGACAGAACAGTTGGCTAGACGGAAAAGAGATATCAACAAAAGTAGGTCTGTTGTTCCTCTGTGTTTTGCGCCCTGAATCACTTCTGAGATAGCTTCACACATTGTAAATGAACAGGCCCTGGATGAGGATATAATCTAATATAATCTGTATGTCCTGATACAAACTTTCATCCTATTTGATTACAGAAATCAATCCGTATGAAAACTGATTTGCTTCAGAGAATTCTTCAGGATTTCACTTTTGTTCCAATTAAGAAGTTCAACCAAATATATTGACTGGGTTTGTTTGCTTTTTTTTTTTTTTTAAGTGAGAAAACTGGGTTCCGTAAGGTAATGAATACCTTAATTGAAGATCAATAGGTGGGTCCAGTTGTTTCTTCATGGTCTGATGGTGCAGCTGATTCAGGCAAGAGGAAGTAGTAAGTAGCTCAGTTGTTTCTGGGTTTTTCTCTTCCTCTGTGCATCAGCTAAAACAGAAATTAGGTCATGCAATATTTACTTTCTGGGTAAGAGGACAGTTTTCAGCTTCCCAGTAATTAGCAGGAATGACCAATACGGAACAAAAGGACAAGCCCCTCTAATCAGTTCTTTGTCCAGAAGAAATAATACAGCATCCCTTTTAGAGCACAAGTGAGAAGACACTTGAGAAATACCAAGCCCACCAGCCATTCAGCATCCTGTGGTTCTCCACATTTGACGGCGTCTGGATCAAATGCCTATGGGGGCACTATCCTGCAGAAATCGACATCCTGAATACGACAATAAATTCAGATGTTCTCTCTGCTTCCTGATTATGCCTTTGTGTCTGCACTCTCTTCCTACGGTGCATATAAATATACCAGTAATATTTTTTAAATGCACATGTGATTTGCTTTTGTGATATCTCATCAATTAATCTTGGATACGTTGCCGTTATTTCTAAATCTTTTTCCATTCAAGATTAAGCTATGTTCTATCAAATCACCCTTGATCACTGCATCCTCCCCCTCGCTTAAAATTCTAGAACAGATTTTTTTAATCTGATATGTATGAAAGGGCTTCAGGAAGCCATGAAATGACAAAATGAGTACAGAGTGGCCCACAGTCTCCACATGTACTTTGTTCTGGCCAAAGAATCGCGTCTTTCTTCAGATTCACAAATGGGCATATAACTCCGCCACTTTTTTTACGTTTACTTATTTATTTGAGAGAGCATGAGCAGGGAAGGGGCAGAGCGAGAGGGAGAGAGAATCCCAAGCACGTTCCACGCTGCTAGGGCAGAGCCCAACCTGCGGCCAAACTGAAACCATGTGATCATGACCTGAGCCAAAACCAAGAGTTGGGCACTTAACCGACTGAGCCACCCAGGCACCCCGTAACTTCCCCAGTTTTAAGAGCTGCTGTCATCTGGATTTTCTCCCTCTTATTTCTATTAGTTAGGAAATGCTAATCCCTACAGTAGTTTTTACTGAATACATGGAGTCACCACCTTCCTCTCCCATTACAGTTCAGTGCTGGGCTCTTATTTTCTCTTACCTTCCTGGACTTCTGTGCTTTCTTGTTCCCATGAAAGTAAGAGAAGCAAGAGAGAGAAAAGAGATACACTAAACGTCAGCCAGTAACAATGGTTGGCATTTTCATATGTGGCACCTCCTTTAATCCATCACAGCTCCACAACTTAGATAGTATCCCTGTTTTTCCAAGTGAGAAAAGTGGAGCTCAGAGAAGTTAGTCGTTGTTGCAGCCTATAAATGGAGGAGCCCACATTTAAATCTGTGTTGAATCTAGTGTTGGGGAGGAACGTTATTTTTCTCTTCTTTTTTAGGTTCTTTGGCTGCCCTAATAATTATACTGATGTGAGACAGTAAAACCGAAGAAAAACAAATTTAATGTAGTACCTGTAGGAGTTTCACGTAGACATGAGAGGGTCAAAGACATCAGGCAATTGAGGCTTCGAGGCCATCCTGAGCTAAGGCCAAGGGGGCTTCAAAGGGAAGAAAGACTGTTCATTGGAAGATGAGTTCCATTGTTCAGTAAACAAATGTTTGCCATGCCATGAAGATAAATCTTTCTGATGTAAAAAGTTATCCCTGGTAATAGCTCTCTTCTTGGTACAGGCCCCCTATCTAAATTCTTTTAGGCTGTTGAGGGGGGAGTAAAAAGCTTCTTTTGAGTCCGTCAGGCCCTGATTGCCTTCAGCTCAACTAATTCCCATGCCCAAGTGGCACATTCCTGTGTGCCAGCCTGCCCTGGACCGCATCACTAGAGCGTATTTCCTTCGCAAAGCCTTTCCAGACAGAGTACCTGGTCATAACTTACTAACAGCATCACCTTTTATAGCGTATAACTTACGTTTCATTATTATTCTCTATCGTCCAAACATATGTTCTTATCCTAGTACAAATTTACAAATGCACATATGTTGTGTTATCGTCTCAAGGCTGTCACATTATCTCATACTACGATAGAGTGCAAGAACGATTGATATATTCATTAATTCATTCACTTTTTAAAATAGCATTTATTAAACTTGACTATTGTTAGTGCTTTGCTAAGATCTGGAATAGCGGTTCTAAGTTCTATCTTCACATTACATTCTACTGGGAACTTTTAAAAAATACCAGTACCTGGTCTTGGCAACAGAAACTTTGATGCGGTTAGTGGAGGTGGCAGAGGGCACAGCAGTTTTAAAAAACTTTCAGGGATAGGACTTGCTATCGCTGTTTAACAAGCCCTCTAGATGTTTCTGAGGCAAGCTAAAGGTTGAGAAACACTTTTCTGAAGACACAGGATGAATAAGATATAATACTTGCCACAAAACAATTCTCCTTGGTCTCGAGGAATTCCCAGTTGTTTAAAATATGCATTTTAATTACCTAGCACAGTTCCATAACCTATAACTTTAGTTGATAATGACAGCATTATTACTACTTAAAAAGTGTGATGACTCTCATCCCTTCTTGGGCAGCCATTAAATGAAGCGTTTACAAGAAAGTAGCGGTCAGTGAATAACATCTCTTAACAGAAGTCTTATGAACCTTATGGGTTCAGCTGAATTGTCACAGTGGTTTGTAACATAGTCGCCTACAAAGAAAGAGAAAGAGAGAATTTTGAAATACAAAATCTTAAAGGATAAATGTTTCCAATGAAGGATTTTAACGTAGTGTTTGTGTTGTTTCCATTCTATTATCGTCAATGTCATGCTTGCTGTTTCTCATCTTTATTAATGTAGCTTTTTTTACAGCTTTATGACAGCATAGTTGACATACAATAAACTGCATGTACTTAAAGCTCTTAATTTGATCAGTTTGGGCTCACATATAGAGCAGTATTATAAAACAGCTGCAGGGGACATCCAGTTCTATTACAGGTACCTCTTAGTTGTGCGGTTTTCCCCCTGCACACCCACATGGCAGGATGGGGCTGCAGAGGAGGTTTCCTGAGGAGGTAGCATGAGCTGAGACTCCTAAGCCAACTAGATGTCAGCCCAAGTGGATAAAACGGGGCAAGGTCGTGCTGGGTAGAAATAAAGCCCATCTCGTCTATGTGAAGTCTAGCTCCTTGTGGTTGTTGCTATGTGTCATCACGTAGGGTTTAAAAATACCTATTAAGCCCATTTGTCTCTTGAAACTCCAAGTGAGGAAGGAAGAAAGGAGCTTAACCACTAGAGAAATACACCACACTGTTACCGACCGTAGCAATCCCACTTTCCGTGTCTGTGGGTAGAGTCTCCTGCATGAGGGTAACCTGTTTAGCTTTGACCACCCATCTGCTCTCGGATGCACACTTCTCTGCTGTGTGTCTTATATAGAACAGCTTGCATAAAAGTGATATTTTTGCTTTCGTAGCAATGGAATCTTATTTCTTGCCTTGAACTCCCTTTTAATTTTTCTTTCTTCTTTTTCCTGAACAAATCAGTATGTCCCTCAATGTTCATTTGTCATTCCCTCCCTCCCCCAGGTGCTAATCCTGGGACTCTACTCTGTGGCTTTAAGTTCTCATTCTTTCTTCCATTGCAGGTTGGCTCCATGAGTTGGGAAAGAGACTAGAGTCTCCATACTACGGCAACAATACCTTGGGGGGCCCGTCCATCCGAAGTGCCTATATTGCCGCTCTGTACTTCACTCTCAGCAGCCTCACCAGTGTTGGGTTTGGGAATGTCTCTGCTAATACAGATGCGGAAAAGATCTTCTCCATCTGCACCATGCTGATCGGCGGTAAGGGAAACTCTTCTTCATAGCAAGACAGGGAACGAATATCTGCCACAGGATTTCTGTTACATTTGTTCTGTCCTAAAACACATTTAAATGGGAAGAGTCAAAAAGCGCTAATTAGAAAACCGGTGACAAACACTTTAATATACATAGAGATTAGCAATGAAAGTCTGTGATGTCAAAGAATTCCATTTTCTGGACAGATGAAGAAGTAACCGTTTACTTGATGACCGATTTTGAAAGGGCAGGAACTTTGTTTTCATGTAACTTATAGGAGTTTGAATTGCAGGTGTATGTTTGAAACCCCACTTGACAGTCTCGAACACAGTGTTATCAAATTTTATTAATACTAATATAGTGAATTAAGGATGCTTGCTAGATCACTTAGTTAAAAATAAAAACAAAAACAAAGAAACACACCCAATAAATAATAAATATTTAACATTTTAAACTTGTTTTCATATTCCATTTTCTGTGCTAAATGCTTCAGTACAACATCCTGAGTCATTGTCTATAGGTTGGGCACGATTCCTGTCCCATTTAACAAACAGACAAATTATTACACTATTGTCCCTGAGCTCCAAACCCGCCTTCCGTGTTATGCTTTGTCACGCTGGAGTTTGGGTGCCGCAAACCTCACTTTTCTTTGCCAGCCGACTTCAGTTGCGCCTGCCAGTAGGGGCGCCAGAGGGAGACTGGAAAGCGGGAGGTGGAGCCAGGGGACTGCTTGCTTCTCAGGCCTGTGATGTACCTCAGGCCGCAGAAGTGGTCCTCGTGTTCAGCCTCCTCAGTCACTCCCAGAACCAGACCCATTGTATCTTCTTGGAGATTCCGGCATCAGTTGGGAGCGCCCCCACATCCAAAGTCGGGCCTTCGTGTCTTACGGCTCCTCACCGCTCCTCTTTGGGGCCTTCGTGTTCTGCTAAGCCCCCTTCTTCCTTTTGTTTTTCCATCTCCGAGGACAGAAGCTCCTGCCTGCAGTTAGTATAGCCACGTTACCGCTATAATCTCTGTTTGCTCGTTTAGCTCTCTAGCCCCAGGAAAACCAGTTCTCTACGGTGCATTTCCTCTGTTGAAATATTTAGGTTCGTTTCCCTTTTCTAAACCGCCTGATACAGGATCAACACTGTTATTTTCCACATTTTTCAGATGATATATCTAAAGCTTGGAGAAACAAAGTAACTTTCCCAATGCCATACGATCAGTAAGGAAAAGAGGCAAGGTTTGAACCCAGATAAATGTTTCCTTCCGTATATAAATACATATTTGGAAACTTACCAAATCACAAGACTTCTCTCATGGAGTCGTAGGAGATGTGGATATTTACCTGGATCGAGTAAACATTCTTCTTAGACTGGAATTCTTAAAGCAGGGTTCTATCAGTATTTTCTGCCCCATCACAGTTCTCCCCAAAAGCCTGTTTTACCATGTTCTTTTAATGGCCTTAATCCCAGCTATCCCTTAGCATTTTTGAGCCTTATAATAGAGGATGGTTCCTAACAGGTTCCTTGCGTGGGAGATGTCAAATGGCTGTGCGGGGCTTTAAGAAATGACTCATCTGGCTTATGCCGAAATCAAAGTATAAAGCCAAGCCTTCCCTCAAGGAACTTATGATCCAGTCTGGAAGAGATAGGCTGAAAGATGTGGAAAGAGCTGTACTAACACCAGGCAGTAAAGCTCTCAGTGCCGAATCCGTTAGGAAGTTCCGAAGCAGTGAGAAAACCAGGGCCAGGGTTCGGGAGAATTTCTTGGAAAGGCTGTGCTGGTGACAGAGCTGCTGAAGGGGCATCCTGGGACTGCAGCAATTCTAACAGTCTTGGCTGATGTACAGCAGCAACAGCCTAGGGAGCAGAGAACAGGAATTCTCATTTTCCGAAGAGCTACAATGTGCCAGACGCCGTGGTGGCTGCTTTATACCCAGTGTTATGACTTCTATAATTGCGAGTCTCCTTGATTGCCCATCTCTCAGCTTAGCAAAGTTACAGGCATTTTGCCAATATACACAGCTTATACTTATTTAATATTTGCCCGTGTTTCTTCTACTCCTGATGGAAAGGTGGGGAAATGCTCAAATGTTCAAGGATTAACCTACTGATTTGACGTTTGAAGAATCTGCGTAGATAATTGAGCTTTTATTCTCTATTGATCCACATAAAATATTGTGAGTGGTCCTGAATCGGAAATGGCATAAATTATTCCCTGCTGTTCCCTGTAAGTAGAAAGCAATGCTGGTCACAGGGCCAAAAGATATGGGAAGTAATCAGATGATGTTACTTTGTCACTTGTTAAATGCTCATTGATCACATCATCCTGGTGCAAAACCGGTGCTCATTTGTCAGTGGCTTTTAAGCATTTGGGTGACTTGGACAGCACTTGGGAAACCACTGCTGTTGAATGGCAGACGGCATCTAAGTAACTTGAATTTATTAGTTAAAGCTTCCCAAATTTGTGTTTGTGGGAAACAACTCTGCATTACTGTGACAATTACCTTAGGCTAGAAGAAAAGATGTCTGCATTTGAGTATTTTCTATTTAACTAACTATTGGTATGACCTTGAGAGCTAATCATAAGAGCTCATAATATGGAACATGTTGCTCATTTATTTAATTTTTTTTTAACATTTATTTATTTTTGAGACAGAGAGAGACAGAGCATGAACGGGGGAGGGGCAGAGAGAAAGGGAGACACAGAATTGGAAGCAGGCTCCAGGCTCTGAGCCATCAGCCCAGAGCCCCATGCAGGGCTCGAACTCACAGACCGCGAGATCGTGACCTGGGCTGAAGTCGGACGCTCAACCGACTGAGCCACTCAGGCGCCCCAATATGTTGCTCATTTAATTCTCCTAACACCATGAGATAAAAGTTACTAACACCTTCATTTAGACATAAAGAAGTGGAGTTTTAGTGAGTCCGTTGCCAGGATTCACTGAGACGTAGCAAACTTCTTACACAATATCCATGTTATTATATCCTATGAGTTGATTTTATTCACATGATTTCTACAAATATACAGAAATAATTTATTTTTTAAAAATTTTAGGTATATATTCCTAAGGAATCAAGTCTGAGGCATCTTATTAGGAATCTCCACCCAAGGCTGATGACATTACTAATGACAGGGATGCAATATTTACTACAAAAGCAGGCGGCAGCGATCTTAAATGTTGCAGGTGACTGCCCAAACCCCAGATAAATGTCTAGGGCAGAGACATTCACTGGCTGAGTGAGGAGGAGGAAGGAAGGGGAAGCTTCCGTGTGAGCATCAGTAATTACAGTGTGTGCTAACCACTGATTTATGGGAAGACGATTAAAAACTGTCAAAGACATCCAGCAATACTAATGAGAAAAGGAAAAAAAAAAACATATGCGGACAATCTTGAGATTTGAGGATTTTGAGAACACCCAAAACAAAAGTAACCTTAGAAGCTTCAAACAACTATTACAGTTAATAAGTGAATGTTGTAAGGCTAATGGGTACAAGTTCAATATGCAAAAATTAATAGTATTTCTATACGCTAGTGCCAAACAGCTAGAAAATTAAATGTAAGAAATGATTACAGGGGCGCCTGGGTGGCTTAGTCAGTTAAGCGTCTGACTTTGGCTCAGGTCATGTTCTTGCGGTCTGTGAGTTCAAGCCCCGCATCGGGCTCTGTGCTGACAGCTCAGAGCCTGGAACCTGCTTCCGATTCTGTATCGCCCTCCCACTTACTCTCGCTCTCTCTCTCTCTCTCTCAAAAATAAATAAACATTTAAAAAATGATTATAAAAGTATCAAATATGTAGGAAAATCTCTTTTAAAATGTGTAACTCTACTATACAGAAAACTACAAAGCATTAGTGAGAAAATTTACAAGGGGAGTAACAGAAGGATATACAATGATGATGGTTTTAAGACTCAATATTATAAAGATGCCAGTTTTACCCAAATTAATCTAAGGATTCAGTGCAATGCCAGCGAAAATTCTAGTAGATGTGTGTTCATGTGTGTTGGTGGATATGTGTGTGTGTGTTTGAAAAATGACAAGCTCTTTCTACGGGTTAGTGGAAATGCAGAGCTAAAACTAGCCAAAGCAATTGTAAAGAAGAACAAAATTGGAAGATTTGTGCGACAGTTATCGAGATGTACTGTAACGTTCCAACAATTAAGAAAGCACATGTTAGCCCAGGAACAAATAGGCCAGTGGAATGGAAGAGGACAGAAATAGGCCCACACTCGTATGGACATTCTATGACACAGGGGACAAACCGTACGAAGGGGAAATGATTCTTTCAACACATGTTGCAGGGTCAAATGTATACCTGCATGTTGAAAAACAACCTGGACTCCTCTTAAAACTGCATTAAAATTAATTCCCGCTGGAGCCCTAACCATAAAGAAAAAAATGGGTAAATTGAACTACAGAATTTGTGTTTTCCAAGACATTACTTAAGAGTGTGAAGAGGCAATCCATAGGATAGGAGAAAGTATTTGCAAACACGTATCTGATAAAAGGCTCGTACCTATTATATATAAAGACTGTCTACAAACCAGTATGAGAAGACAACCCAAAAAGGCATAAAACCTTTAAGAAGTACTTCACAGGGGCGCCTGGGTGGCTCAGTCGGTTAAGCGTCCAACTTTGGCTCAGGTCGTGATCTCGCGGTCCGTGAGTTCGAGCCCCACGTCAGGCTCTGTGCTGACAGCTCAGAACCTGGAGCCTGCTTCTGATTCTGTGTCTCCCTCTCTCTCTGACCCTCCCCCCATTCATGCTCGGTCTCTCTCTGTCTCAAAAATAAACGTTAAAAAAAATTAAAAATTAAAAAATAAAAAAAGAAGTACTTCACAAACAGATTCCCATGCCAAATAGACAATAAAAATATAAAAAAGGTGTTCAACGTCATTTATCAAAGCCTTGTAAATTAAGATCAAGATTAGATAGCATTTATATTCGCCAGAATGAGATACTTAAAAACAATGACAACATGGGGCTCCGGGGTGGCTCAGTCAGCTAAGAGTCCGATTCT